CGCCTCTGCCTCCGCCTCTCCTTCCTCCTCCTCCTCCTCCTCCTCCACCTCCTCCTCCCTCCTCATCCGCCCCCCCATCCCCGTCCCCAACTCCCCCCACCCCCCCCAATATTGTTTTTATCCTCCCTCCTCCTCCTCCTCCTCCTCCTCCTCTTACCTCCTCCTCTCCCCTCCTCCCTCCTCCTCCTCCTCCTCTCCTCCTACCTCCTCCTCTCCTCATCCTCCTCCTCCCTCCCCTCCTGCTCTCCTCCTCCTCCTCCTCCTCCTCCTCTCTCCTCTCCTCCACTCCCCCCTCCCAACCCCATTGTTTTCTTATCTTCCTACTCCTCCTCCTCTCCTCCTGCTCCTCCTCCTCCTCCCTCCTCCTCCACCTGCTCCTGCTCCTGCTCCTCCTCCTCCTTCTCCGCGCGGCCTCGCGGCGGGCGGGAGCTCGGCGGTCGCCGGCGGCCGCCGAGGTGGGTGCCAGGAGACCTGGGGCTTCCCCGCGGGAGGGGCGGTGCGGCGCCCCGGGGGGGGGGCTGGAGGCCGTGGTTCGCGCCTCCGGGGGCCCCGAAAGCAGTGTGGTGATCACACGAAGGAGGAGGAGAGGAGGAGGAGGAGGAGGAATAATAATAATAATAATAATCATCATCATACTACTACTACTACTACTACTACTACTACTACTACTACTACTACTACTACTACTACTACTACTACTACTACTACTACTACTACTACTACGACAACTTGTACTGCTACGACTACTACTACTACTACTGAGACTACGACGACTACTACTACGACTACACTACTATACACACTACTACTACACTACTACTCTACTACTACTACTACTAACTACTACTACTACGACTACTATACTACTACTACTACTACTACGACTACTACTCCTACTACTACTACTACTACTACTACTACTACTACTACTACTCTACTACTACTACTACTACTACTACTACTACTACTACTACTACTACTACTACTACTACTAGTACTACTACTACTACTACTACTAATAATAATAATGATAATAATACTAATGATATAATAATAATATATTAATAATATTAATAATCGTAATAATAATAATATTACGAAACATAATAATACATAATAACATTATTCGTAATACTATTACTAATACTAATACGGGTACTAATGATAATAATCCGACTCCGAATAAGAAGGATACTACTAATACTACCAAGAAGAATATTAAGAATACGACGAATAATAATAAGGAAGAGAAAATCAACATACTATTAATACTAATGATCATACTAGTAACAATACTATTATTAATAATGATAATTATCATACGCCGAATAATAATACTCATAATACGAGGAGGAGAAGGAGGAGGAGGAGGAGGAGGAGGAGGAGGAGGAGGAGGGAGGAGGAGGAGGAGAAGGGGAGGTGGAGGTGGAGGAGGAGGGGGGTAGGGGGAGGAGGAAGAGGAGGAGGAGGAGGAGGAGGAGGAGGAGGAGGAGGAGGAGGAGGAGGAGGAGGAGGACCCTTCCAGACCCAGACAGGGAAGCACGACGCCATGCAGGAATTCTGCGCGGCGTACCACCAGACTATCACAGGCTATGCCGCGACCACGGAGCAGCCGGTCCTGGCCTGGAGCCGCAGCCACCCGAGAACGGGGGAGCTGGAGGAGGCCAAACTGGACGTCGCAACGCGGTCACGGGCAACGTAAGTTATCTCGTTACGAGCATCGCTTGTGATCACAGCGACGACCAGTCGCGCCAGCGGGTTCGCTCGGGTCGGAATGGCTTCGCCGCCCAGGTCCGCGAAGACGACAAATGCCGGAGATACCCTCCTCAAGGGGGCGAGCTCGTCCCAGTCGTCTTCGAAACAGGCGGCCGCCTCGGTGACGCGGCGGTCGCCTACGCGCGCTCCCTGGCGCACGACATGGAGGGAGCCGGCCGCGCTGAGGTGCTGCGGTATGCTTGGCAGCAGCTCAGCTGCCTGCTGCAGTTGGGCAATGCCGAAGCGCTGCTGGCGGCCATTGACGCGTGAAGCCTAGTCGACAACCAGGCGCAGGGTCGACGCTGGCGGGGTCGCCGGCGCCGCAGCACCAACGCAGAAGACAAGAAGACAGCTCCACTGCGGCGCAGCAGACAGCACCAGAAGCACCAACGCAGCAGACAGCGCCACTGCGACAGCACCAACGCAGCAGACACCATGCCGGCAGACGCGCAGCGGGCCCGCGACGACGACCGCCGACACCCCAGACTTCGCCGCCCGCCGCCGCCCCCCGTGTCCGCCTTTCCCGCCTGTTTCTCCCCCTCCCTGACGTGCCAGCCGCCCTCGCCTGCCTGTGGCGCCTCTTTGCGCTTGCCTCGTGCCTGCCTCTCTTTTCTCCCCGCCAACCTGTGCATCGGGCTAGTTTTCCCCCCCTCTCCTCCCCCTGCCGCCCCCCCTCCTTTATGGCTCCGTGCCTCCGGCGGGCGCGCGCGCGCGCCTGAGGTGGGGGGGGGCGCGCGCCTCCCCGCCGCGCGCCCGTCTCCTCTGCCTCCCGGTTGCCTCCTGCTCTCCCCTCCCTCCTCCCTCTGTCCCTTGTCGGTTCTGTGCGGCTCCTGGTCAGGACTGCCTCGCCCCCTGCTGCTTCTTACCGGCCCGCCTCTGCCCCCTCCTCTGCTTTCTGCTGGGGGAGGAGGAGGAGGAAGAGGAGGAGGAAGAGGAGGATCGGAGGAGGAGGATGAGGAGGAGGAGGAGGAGGAAGAGGAGGAGGAGGAGGAGGAGGAGGAGGAGGAGGAAGAGGAGGAGGAGGGGGGGGGAGGAGGAGGAGGAGGGAGACGAGGAGGAGGAGAAGGAGGAGGAGGAGGAGGAGGAGGAGGAGGAGAAAAAGGAAGAGGAGGAGGGTGAGGACGATGGGTTTTCCGCGACTTTCGGCCGGTGGGGACCCTTCCTGGGCGCTGGGACCGTCAGGAACTGGCCCAGGATGGGCCGAGACCACGCCGTGTGGTAAGTCTGGGGCATTCCCGGGATGTTGTCCTCCTCCTCCTCCTCCATCCTCCTCCTCTCCTCCTCCTTCCTCCCCCTCTCTTTCTCCCTCCCCTCCTCCTCCTCCTCCTCCTCCCTCCTCCTCCTCCTCCTCCTCCTCCTCTCCTCACTCCTCCTCCTCCTCCCCTCCTCCTCCTCCTCCTCCTGCTCCTCCTCCTCCTCTTCTTCCTCCTGGATTTTCGGGGTGTTGTCGTCGCGGAGCTTGGGGGGTGGCCTTCCTCGGGATATGCGTTCCAGCAGCTGCGCCGCGCCGATCCCGAGCGGCCGGCGGAAGCCCGAGTTCTATTTGTCAGGAGGGGAAAAAACACAGACACAATCAATCGTCGATTCCCCAGAACATATGGGAAGATATGGGAAGTGGGGGGGAAGACAAAAGCATGAAAAATATTGGAAAATATGGGGAATCTCTTTATTCGTGTGTATTTATTTGTGTGTCCTGGGGCCCCTTCAATTTGGAGAGCGGCCCGTGCAGTGAGTCAGTGGTGATTCGGGGTCGCCGCACGGCTTTGCGGCTCGGGTCGTTCTCCGAGGGCGTCGCGGGCAACCAGGGCCTCCACGTTCCCCAAAACAGTGCGATGAGGCTTGTTGCGGGTTTCGAGGCCACCGCGAGGTCTGTCACAACACCATTTTGGGACCCTCGAGGCAGTCCTGGATGATCCCCAGCACGCGTGTGTTAGCCCTGTGCATCCGTGCGTGCGTGCGTGCGTGTGTGTGTGTGTGTGTGTGTGTGTGTGTGTGTGTGTGTTTGTATGTGTGTGTGGTGTGTTTGTTTGTTTGTGTGTATATATATATATATGTGTGTGTGTGTGTGTGTGTGTGTGTGTATGCGTGTGCGTGTGCGTGTTCGTGTGCGTGTAGTGTCCGTGTGCATGCGTGCGTGCGTGCGTGCGTGCGTGTGTTTATTTTGTGCATCTGGGTCATTCGGGTCAGCCCAGGTCAGGTCACGCCTGACCCCCCCCCCAGGGACATACTGTGGATACTCCATGGGGCGAGCGACAAATGCGGCGGCCGCGGCAGCAAAAGCAGTCATGGCCTTCAGGAGAGTACGCCCACAAAACGGTGTCCCCGGAGTTCCTGCAGGCGCAGATCGACGGCACCCCGCTTGCCCGGCTCGGCACCCCCGACGACGTCGGCCTGGCCGTGTGGGCTGCGCACAAGCACCTGGCCGCAGCCTCGGGCCACTGTGAGCTGTCGAATGCAATGCGGGTGCTGTGTTCGACGTGTCGCGACACCGGAGGTCAATTTCTGGTGGCATTGCTGTGATGTTCGCCTCCATCTCTGTTGATCGTGCGTCGTGCGTAAGGAGTGTCACGGGCCCAGGGCGAACTCGCGTGGGCCGCAGGTAGGCCGTGCGCGCACGCTTGTAAATACAGTCGGAACGAGGTATAGATCAAGGTCAGTTCGGGCAGGCTATCCCAACGTTTTTTGTTGTTGTTTTTTTTGGGTTGCTCTCTCTCTCTCTCTCTTCTCTGCGTAACTCCCCACGTTATCTTTTTGTTTTCTCTGCGCACCCCCGCGCAGGAACAGTCCTCCTCACCCTCCACGTCTCGTGTCCTTCTACAGTCATCATCATCAGCACCACTCACCCACTCACTCCCTCACTCAGCATCATCACCATCATCATAGTAGGTCGCACTCACGCATGCACTCTTCTTTTTACAGTCATCATCATCAGCATCACTCACCCACTCACTCCCTCACTCATCATCATCATTATCATCACAGTCACCCGCATCCTCCTTTTACAATTATCAGCATCAGCATCACTCACCCACCCACTCCCTCACTCATCAGCATCATTATCATCACATTCACTCATACTCACGTATTCATTTGTCCTTCTGCAGTCATCGTTATCATCATCATCGCTTCTCCACTCACTCACTCACGCATCATCACCATCAGCATCACGCATCTCCGTAGCCTTTTGGCTCAAGCGCGCCTGAAGCTGTTTCAATAGAAGCGTGAAGGACAACGGTTTTCAGCCGATGGCGCTTCTCATCTTTGCCGCTTCGCTGCTGACACTCGCACACGCCTTGGGCCCAAAAGCGTCTTGCACCGTAGGGGAGCACTGCGCCGCAGGAGAGCAGGATGACACCGGCATGCTCCAGAAGGGCTCGCAGATGATGCAGGTGAATCGGCATGAGCAAATGAGCGTGAAGACGACGCCCACGAACGATGCCGAGTGCGAGGCCGTGCCGGGTATCAATACGGACGAGCCCATCGTGTACGACTCCAGCTGCCCCGGCCTGTGCTGCTTCGAGGACCAGCCGTGCAGGTACAACACCACGGGCTGCTACTACTCCGCAGCCTTGGCGTACAGCAGAAGGTGAGGACGACGCCCACGAATGATAGGATTGCCGCGTGCGAGGCCGTGCCGGGTATCAATACGGACGAGCCCTCGTTGTACGACAGTTGCCCCGGCCTGTGCTGCTTCGAGGACCAGCCGTGCAGGTATCAGGACACCACGGCTGCTACTCGCAGCCTTGGCGCAGCAGAAGGTGAGGACGCGCACGAACGACATGCCGAGTGCGAGGCCGTGCCGGCATCAATACTGACGAGCCCATGTGTACGACTCCAGCTGCCCCGGCCTGTGCTGCTTCGAGGACCAGCCGTGCAGGTACAACAACACGGGCTGCTACTCCGCAGCTTTGGCGCAGCAGAAGGTGAGGACGACGCCCACGAACGACGCCGAATGCAAGGCTGTGAAGGGCATCAACACGGGCCTGCCCATCGTCTACGACTCCAGCTGCCCCGGCCTGTGCTGCTTCGAGGACCAGCCGTGCAGGTACAACAACACGGGCTGTTACTCCGCAGCCTTGGCGCAGCAGAAGGTGAGGACGCCCACGAACGACGCCGAGTGCAAGGACGTGGAGGGTATCAACATGGACCTGCCCATCGTCTACGACTCCAGCTGCCCCGGCCTGTGCTGCTTCGAGGACCAGCCGTGCAGGTACAACAACACGGGCTGCTACTCCGCAGCCTTGGCGCAGCAGAAGGTGAGGACGACGCCCACGAACGACGCCGAGTGCGAGGCCGTGGAGGGCATCAACACGGGCCTGCCCATCGTCTACGACTCCAGCTGCCCCGGCCTGTGCTGCTTCGAGGACCAGCCGTGCAGGTACAACAACACGGGCTGCTACTCCGCAGCCTTGGCGCAGCAGAAGGTGAGGACGCCCACGAACGACGCCGAGTGTGAGGCCGTGGAGGGTATCAACAAGGGCCTGCCCATCGTCTACGACTCCAGCTGCCCCGGCCTGTGCTGCTTCGAGGACCAGCCGTGCAGGTACAACAACACGGGCTGCTACTCCGCAGCCTTGGCGCAGCAGAAGGTGAGGACGCCCACGAACTACGCCGAGTGCAAGGACGTGGAGGGTATCAACAAGGACCTGCCCATCGTCTACGACTCCAAGCTGCCCCGCCTCCCCCGCCTGTGCTGCTTCGAGGACCAGCCGTGCAGGGTACAACAACACGGGCTGCTACTCCGCAGCCTTGGCGCAGCAGAAGGTGATGGACGCCACGAACGACGCGAGTGCAAGGACGTGGAGTGTATCAACAAGGAACCTGCCACGTCTAACGACCAGCTGCCCGGCCCTGTGGTTTACTGATTCGAGGGACCAGCCGTGCAGGACAACAACACGGGCTGATACTCCGCAGCCTTGGCCAGCAGAAGGTGAGGCCGCCCAACGAACGACGCCGAGGCAAGGACGTGGAGTGGTATCAACAAGGACCTGCCCATCGTCTACGACTCCAGCTGCCCCGGCCTGTGCTGCTTCGAGGACCAGCCGTGCAGGTACAACAACACGGGCTGCTACTACGCAGCCATTGGCGCAGCAGAAGGTGAGGACGCCACGAACGGGACGGCCGAGTGCAAGGACGTGGAGGGTATCAACAAGGACCTGCCCATCGTCTACGACTCCAGCTGCCCCGGCCTGTGCTGCTTCGAGGACCAGCCGTGCAGGTACAACAACACGGGCTGCTACTGAGGGGAGAGCTGCTGTGTATCATGGGTGACCAGGATGTGCTGCCGCACTAGAGACGAATGGTGAGTAAGTGAGTGAGTGAGTGCATTGTGCGTCGTGCCAGCTCAGGCATTGTCGAGGTTGTGTTCTGCGTTTTCAGTCTTGTGTAAGCATGCTGGCTGTGACCTGTCCAGGGCAATGTCCGCGGCGCAGCGGTATGTGTACTTAATTAATGCTTCTCCTGCGTTCCGACTCCTGGACCTGAACGTCTGGGTGCACTTGGGCGGAGCGGCCGCTTCGTGCTGTGGCCGTCTTTGCCCACGTGCGGTCTTGTCACGGGAGAGACTGGTCAGAGCGAGGCCTCTGCAGATTGATAACAAAAAGACGGCCCAAGGGGGCCCCCAAACTGCCCCCCAGGACCCCGACAGAGGCCCCCAATAGGCCCCAGCTCCCCAAGAGGCCCCTCAGAGACCCCAAGAGACGCTAAAACAGCTGCCAAGAGGGGTCAACATTGCTTCCGAAAAGCACCCTTCAAGCCTCTTGGGCCCCTGGATTAGTATGGCGACGGTGTTATATATAATATGAACAAATACACCGGGCCCCCTCTGGGGGCGTCCTCCACTTCGCTTACATCTCGTGTACGCTCGCGGTACCGCGCTTCCCGGCCTCCCGGGGAGCCCCCACAATGCCCAAAGACAGCCCAAGACGACACCAAGAAGCCCCCAGAACGTAAAAGAACGGCTCAAGACGCTCCCAAGTAACCCAGGATAGCTTTCGGGCGGCTCTCCAGGCTCCCATGAGGCCTCCAAGAGACCTCAAGAGAGCTCCGAGAGGTCTCCCGAGAGCGCCCGGAGAACCTAATTTTTTTGTTGTTTCTTTTCCCCAGTTTTTGGCCTTCTCACCATTTCATGCTTCCAACGTTCCAAGACGGTCGAAGAGGCCCCCAAGACCGCCCAAGAGGCCCCCAAGACGGCCCAAGACGGGCCAAGACGGCCCCAAGACTGCCGAAGAGGCACCCTGGACAGCTCCAGACAACCCCAGAACAGGCCCAGAATGAGCCCAAGAGCAGGAGCAGGAGGCCGCCAGAGACCTCCGAGAGGACTCCAGGACCCCCCAGGGGCCTCCAAAACACCCCAATCCCTTGATAGGCCTCCAAAAGAGCTCCGACGAGGCCTTCAAAACAGCCCAAGAGAACTTCGAGAGCCGTCCCGAGAGAACCCGAAGAGGGTAACATCGTTGCTTTCCAGTGGTTTTTGTCGACGCTTTTTGCCTTCTCACGTGTTCTGGCTTCCAACGCTCCAAGACCGAGGAGTTTGAAAAAAACAAAGGAATCTCAGAGATTCCCGGGTGTCCCACACCTTCCTGGAACATCTGCGGAACGCTCGCGGTACGGCGCTTCCCGACCTCCCGGGAAGCCCCCAAAGCGCCTAAGGACAGCCCAAGACGATCCCAAGAAGCCCCGACCCCGAGCGCGCCCAGGAACATCCAGTTCGATCCCCGGAACATGTTTCCCAGGTAAACGCGCAGTGGTTTCGCCCCGCGTCCATCCGTGGCGACGGGGAAGGCTTTTGTCCCGAAAGGCTGCGCCGTCCTGGTTTCTCTGTCATCCTTCCGCGCGCCCCCATATTTCGGAGACCGCTGGTAGGTCTGCAATATGTGCGAGGTCACGTCGGAGTCGAACGTCGCCATTCTCAAGGGGCCGGGCGTGGAGTCGGCCGTTGCTGGTTGCGTCCTCCCTGGCGAGGTGTTGTTTGCGACTGCTAGAGGCAGTGCCCGGGGCCTCCGGGTCGGGCGTCTGTGAGGCCCGGCGGCGGCCGGGGGTGGATGCCAGAATGCTCCCGCAAGGGCCCCGATAAAGTGGTGATCAGGTCGGTATATTCAGCTGCCTGCGGCGCGCCTCGCCACAGTGTCAGTCCAGCATGACGGGCGGCATTTTTCCGAGGAGGCCATGCAGGCTATGTTCGCGAGGGATAGACATAATGGTAACAGCGTGGGGATGATGATGATGATGATGATGATGATGATGATGATGATGATGATGATGATGATGATGATGATGATGATGATGATGCTGATGATGATGATGATGATGCTGATGATGATGATGGTGATGATGATGATGATGATGATGATGATGATGATGATGATGATGATGATGATGATGTTGATCGTGAGGCTGCTGCCGCTTCTGCTGATGGCGATGGTGTTGTTGAAGATGACGATGATGATGGCGATTCTGATGATGATGATCGTTGTTAGTTCGTGGGAGGCCACTCGGGGGCGTGTCGCGGATAATTGTGATGGCTTCTGAAGACCTTCTTAAGACTTTTGGAGGCCCCAAAGAGCTTGTTCGGACGGAAGGGTCGAATTGTGTGTTCGTTGTTTTCCCCTTGGGTCCTTGCGCCCTCCAGGCGCGCTCGGGAGTTTTCTGTACGGGTACTCATTGCATTAGTACAGTGTCAAGCACCCACCCACCCCCCCTCCCTGCTCCCGTCGCATCCCGCAGTCCCGTCCCCGCCCCTGCTCCCTTGGTGCTCCTCCCTGGAGGGCGGCTCCCGCAGGTGCTTGCGGATCTGGCGGCCGATGCTGTCAAACTCAACGAACAACTCCTCGAGCGTGAGGCGCGGCACCTGCCGGGCTGCGAGTTCTGAGCTCACGCGGTGCCTGTGCTGCGGGCACAGGCGCCGCGTGAGCTCAGACACAGCGCACAGGCACCGCGTGAGCTCAGAACTCGCAGCCCGGCAGGTGCCGCGCCTCACGCTCGAGGAGTTGTTCGTTGAGTTTGACAGCATCGGCCGCCAGATCCGCAAGCACCTGCGGGAGCCGCCCTCCAGGGAGGAGCACCAAGGAAGCAGGGGCGGGGACGGGACTGCGGGATGCGACGGGAGCAGGGAGGTTTTTTCCCAACCATCCTGTGGTGTTGGGTCCTCGTTTTGAAGAGACGGTCCCCGCGTTCCTTCTTCCTCCTTTTCCTCGCCCTCCTCCCTCCTGCGTTCGCATGCCTCCCCACCACCCATTTCGGCACACCCCTCACACGTTTCGTGGCCCTGCGTTCGCATGCCTCCCCACCACCCATTTCGGCACACTCCTCGCACGTTTCGTGGCCCCATAGGGAGCTCCACCGAAGGCCCCAGTGGCTGCGTTCGCATGCCTCCCCACCACCCATTTCGGCACACCCTTCACACGTTTCGTGGCCCCATAGGGAGGTCCACCGAAGGCCCCAGTGGCTGCGTTCGCATGCCTCCCCACCACCCATGTCGGCACACACCTCACACGTTTCGTGGCCCCATAGGGAGCTCCACGAAGGCCCAGTGCTGCGTTCGCATGCTCCCACCACCCATTTCGGCCCCACCCTCACGTTCGTGGCCCCAAGGGAGGTTCCACCGAAGGCCCAGGGCTGCGTTTTCGCATGCTTCCCACCACCCTGTCGGCACACCTGACGCACGTTCTTGTCCCCATACTCGTCCCACGAAAGCCCCAGTGGATGCGTTCGCATGCCTCCCCACCAACCATTTCGGCGCACCACTCACACGTTTCGTGGCCCCATAGGCAGCTCCACCGAAGGCCCCAGTGGCTGCGTTCGCATGCCTCCCCACCACCCATTTCGGCACACCCCTCACACGTTTCGTGGACCCATCGGGAGCGCCACCGAAGGCCTCAGTGGCTGCGTTCGCATGCCTCCCCACCACCCATTTCGGCACACCCCTCACACGTTTCGTGGCCCCATAGGGAGCTCCACCGAAGGCCCCATGGCTGCCGTCCGCATGCGTCCCGCACACCCATGTAGGCACACCCCTCACACGTTTCGTGGCCCCACAGGGAGCTCCACCGAAGGCCCCAGTGGCTGCGTTCGCATGCCCCCACCACCCATTTCGGCACACCCCAGGACGTTTTCGTCGGCCCCATAAGGCAGCTCCACCGAACGCGTACCAGTTGGCTGCGTTACGCATCGCCGCCCCCAACCACCAATTTTCGGCATCCCCCCTTCACACGTTTCGTGGCCTTCATAGGGAGCTCCACCGAAGGCCCCAGTGGCTGCGTTCGCATGCCTCCCCATCACCCATGTCGGCACACCCCTCGCACGTTTCGTGGCCCCATAGAGAGCTCCACCGAAGGCCCCAGTGGCAGGGTCCGCATGCCTCCCCACCACCCATTTCGGCACACCATTCACACGCTTCGTGGCCCCATAGGGAGCTCCACCGAAGGCCCCAGTGGCTCCCCACCACCCATGTGGCACACCCTTCACACGCTTTCGGGCCATAAGGGAGATCCACCGAAGGCCACAGTGGCTTCGTTCGCATGCCTCCCCATCACCCATGTCGGCACACCCCTCGCACGTTTCGTGGCCCCATAGAGAGCTCCACCGAAGGCCCCAGTGGCAGGGTCCGCATGCCTCCCCACCACCCATTTCGGCACACCATTCACACGCTTCGTGGCCCCATAGGGAGCTCCACCGAAGGCCCCAGTGGCGCGGTGCCTATGAGAAGAGGGGCCTAGTTTGCGTGCCCCCTCCTTCGTCTCATATCCGCGCGGTACTCGCAGCTGCATATGGTTGGGTCCGTCGCCAAACTAATTTTGGGGGTGGGTGGGTGCTTGACACTGTACTGATGCAGTGAGTACCCGTACAGAAAAACTCCCGAGCGCGCCTGGAGGGCGCAAAACGGCTCCTGATGGCTTCCAGAGGGCCCCAAGCTGGGCCAAGAGGGCTACAAGACGCCCACGATGGCCTCAAGACAGTTCCAGAGGCCCCCTTTTTCGCCCCAAGACACCCCAAGAGAGAGGCCTCCCGAGGGAGCCCCAAGAGGCCCAAATCGCCAACTTCCTTTCGTAAAACGTACGTTTTCAGCATTAACAATTTCTTGCCTTCCCGACGCTCCAAGATGACCCCAAATGCCCTCCAGCTCCAGATCGCCCCAAGACGGCCCAAGTCGGCCCAAGAGGCCCTCACGACGGCCCAAAAGGGTTCCAAGACGGCCCAAGAGGCGCCCAAGACGGCCCAAGGGGGCCCCTCCGTAGCCATTTTGGCTCATTCTGGCTCACGCGATTTTGGCTCAAGTGCGCCTGTCTTTGTTTTGCTAGAAGCGAGAACGACTACAGTCTGCAGCCGATGGCGCTCCTCATCGCCGCGGCCTCGTTGCTGGCACTCGCGCACGCGTCGGGCGCGCAAGCTTCCTGCGCTGTAGGGCAGCAGTGCGCTCCGGGAGAGCAGGACGACACGGGCATGCTCAGAAAGAAATCGCGATGATGCAGGTGAACGGCATGAGCAAATGAGTGGACGTTGAGGACGGCGCCACGACACGACGCCCGAGTGCCAAGGAGGGACAGGTGGTATAAAACAAGGACCTGCACTAGTCTAGACTCCAGCTGAGAACCGCCTGCCTGGTGCTGCTTCGAGGACAGCCGTGCAGGTACAAAACACGGGTGACTACTCCGCAGCTTGGCGCAGCAGAAGGTGAGGACGCCCACGAACGACGACGAGTGCAAGACGTGGAGGGTATCAAAAGGACCTGCCCATCGGTTAGGACTAACAGATGCCCGGCCTGTGCGCTTCGAGACCAGCCGTGCAGGACAACAACACGGGCTGCTACTCCGCAGCCTTGGCGCAGCAGAAGGTGAGGACGCCCACGAACGACGCCGAGTGTAAGGCCGTGGAGGGTATCAACAAGGACCTGCCCATCGTCTACGACTCCAGCTGCCCGGGCCTGTCCTGCTTCGAGGACCAGCCGTGCAGGTACAACAACACGGGCTGCTACTCCGCAGCCTTGGCGCAGCAGAAGGTGAGGACGCCCACGAACGACGCCGAGTGTGAGGCCGTGGAGGGTATCAACAAGGATCTGCCCATCGTCTACGACTCCAGTTGCCCCGGCCTGTACTGCTTCGAGGACCAGCCGTGCAGGTACAACAACACGGGCTGCTACTCCGCAGCCTTGGCGCAGCAGAAGGTGAGGACGCCCACGAACGACGCACGACGCCGAGTGTAAGGCCGTGGAGGGTATCAACAAGGACCTGCCCATCGTCTACGACTCCAGCTGCCCCGGCCTGTGCTGCTTCGAGGACCAGCCGTGCAGGTACAACAACACGGGCTGCTACTCCGCAGCCTTGGCGCAGCAGAAGGTGAGGACGACGCCCACGAACGACGCCGAGTGCAAGGCCGTGAAGGGCATCAACACGGGCCTGCCCATCGTCTACGACTCCAGCTGCCCCGGCCTGTGCTGCTTCGAGGACAAGCCGTGCAGGTACAACAACACGGGCTGCTACTGAGGGGAGAGCTGTTGTGTATTGTGGGTGGCCAAGATGTGCTGCCGCACTAGAAGCATATGTCGCAGGCCCAGAGGTTGACACCAACACCAATATCGGCGGTGTGCCTCCATCGAGGGAAGAAGATCCCGATCTCGGTGACGGTGGTAATATTCTGGCTTCCACGGTGGCCGAGATATTACCACCAACACCGAAATCTAGGATCACCCATCCCCTGTGGAGGCAACCCCCTGTGTTGGTGTTTGTGCCCATTTCCAGGCCTCCGAGTATGGTGAGTGAGTGAGTGAGTGCATTGTGCGTTGTGCCAGCTCCGGCAGTGCCGATTTTGTGTTGTGCGATTCCAGTTTCGTGTAAGCATGCTGGCTGTGCCCAATGTCCACGGCGCAGCAGTACGTGTACTTAATGCTTCTCCTGCGTTCCGACTCCTGGACCTGAATGTCTGGGGGCACTTGGGCGGAGCGGCCGCTTCGTGCTGTGGCCGGCTTTGCCCACGTGTGGTCTTGTCACAGGAGGGACTGCTCAGAGCGAGGCCTGTGCAGATTGATCAAAAAACAAATGTCCACGGCGAGGCCCTGTTTCGAGCAATCCCTTCAGCTCCCCCAAGAAGGCCTCAGGTTCATCTTCAAATATGCTGGCTGAGGCATGTTGGTAAGGTTCCGAATCACCTCCCCATACCGTTTCCCAAGAGGCACGTTGAGCTTCAGCGGTATCCCCAGGGAAACTCGAGAGGCCGTCGGAGATCCTGACTTGCGCTACCTTCCACCCTTTTGGCTTAGTCCAACGATGAACGGGCCCTGGAGTAGAAATGAGATTGTTCCTCATCCACCCTACACATGACTTTGACTGGGCCTGTGCCAGCCTCGTTTCCTCGAGGTCAGCCAACCGCGCGAGGAAGCTACAAACAAAATCTAGCATGAGACCGTGATATTCCAGAGGCTGCGCGCACGCTTGCTCAATCATGAGCACGATGTCAGCTAGAACATGGTGCGGTATGTGCTTACGTATACGACCACCACGACCACGACCATACATGAAATCACATAAGTGCTGCCGCGCTGGTACACGTCTATCATGTACATCACGCTGTGCAATAATAACATCTGAAACTTTGAGCTGCAATAAGCGCAGTGCTTGTGAGCACGTCGTGCCCGCGGGTCGATAACGTGCAAGCGCGCCGCCTGCTGTGGAGTACTCATACTCTATGCCACCAGCTCGCCCAGAGTACCGACGGGGACCATCAAGCTTAACAAGTGGCACCAATTCCTTCTCAACTCCATTGTAGAGTTGTTTGCAAAGTAAGTCAATCATTTCTTGGTGAGCCTGGGGCCCTCCGAAACCATCTTGAGCGTCCTGTCTCATGAGGTCAGTCCAAGAGTGCCCAGGGCCCCCTCTAGCGATATCGAAGTCGATTTCGCCATCTTCGTCCTCATCTTGATGCTCTGAGGGCTTCGCCTGAGGACCCACTGGGAGAATGGCAGGGCCTCTAAGAATGCATACTTGCTGCGCACGAGGCCGAGCTCCAACTTCAGCTTGCAATGGAAAATGATTGCGTGCAGGGAAGCCTCCAGTCGTACGAACATTCGTCATGACCGCTGCGATGCCCTCGGAGACTAAGAAGTAGTCGATGCTAGACAGGTTGCCAGGACTTCGGTCCACGGTAGGTGCCAGAAGGTGCACCCACAAAGAACCCCTTCAGTCTCTCATGATATCGAGTTTCTTGTGTTTTAGCCAAGGGCATGTTCCAATCTCCACCGACGATGTAGGGTACAGAGTAGTATCGTAGACATTGACCGAGACGCTTGAGATGTCTGGCATTGTCTCCGCCGAACTGCTGTCCTTGCACCAAGTATATCGGTACTGCGATAAAGCCGTGCCGCGGACCTGCATGGATGTGCACTGCCACAGCTCGGTTGGGGATGAGCACGTGGTTCTCCATGAAGGCGTCGAGCAACGTAGCGCCAACATGAGCCCTGACCCATGTATCAACTCCAGCTGAGTACTTGCCGCCGCCAACTGGCTTGGCATCTGTCATGAAAGGCTGCCATCCGCGCTTGATGCTCCACCCTTCGGCCTGCAATCTAGCATTGCCTGCGAGATGGTGCTCTTGAGCAAAGACGATGGAATGAAAACGACATTGCTCAAGGCAATATTGTAGCGGAGGCCAGCCACTGCCATTGAACGTTGCCATTGTGAAGGGCTTGCGCTTGCCACGCTTGGGAGCTCGCTGCCCTCTGCCGTATGCCTCGCCCCACGATACCTGCGAGGAAACATGCCGCTGCGTGGAGCATGCAGGATTTAGTGCATTGGTTGGCACGGAAGATGTCTGAAGTAGCCTCATGTTGTCTCCAGACGTGCCAGCACGAGTAATGTAATCTGACGCCGATGATACCCGTGGTGGCCTCTCGCCGCCCACAGTCCCACCATTGCCAGTATCTGCTGGTGAAGCCACGCCAGTGGATGGAGCAATCTGATCTCCACCGCTGCTTTGACCTCTGGTGATGGCCGCGAGGTCCGCCAGGCTGATATCGTCGAGTGAACATATCTTGCCCTGGAACTGCCGCGGCATGATGTTGCCTAGGATCGCTTCACTAGCTTCCAGGCGTAGGAGGGGCAGCTGATGATGGATCGTCCCATTCCATGCCGCCGCCATGAATAGTACCTGCTTGGGAGTGTTGCTGCTCCTGCTGGGCCTGTTCCTGCTGCCATGCCCCATGTAGCTGATTGGAATGATTGGCCAGTGACTCAAGTGCCGCTTGAGGGTTGCCTGCTGATATGGCCGACGGGACTCCCAAGACCACCTGCTGTAGACGGTCCATGGCGTCGGCGACAGTGCTGCCATCTGGGGCCACACGTGGTGTTCCCATGGCCGCTGCACGTGCAGTGGCAACCTCGAGCTTGATCGTGTCGAGCCCAGCGCTTGCAATGGTGTACTCCTCGGCCTTGGAGGCATACTTGAGCTTGAGTGCGTTGACGGGCCCCGTGAACTGCTCCAACTCCCGAGCCGTTGCATTATGTCTGTCCAAAGCGCTCCGCAACATGTCATCTGGCGTGCGTCGTGCCCGTTCAGCTGCCTCCGCTGTGGCGAGAGCTGCGAGTGCACGTACGATGAGATCATTATCATCAGGAAGACCACACTTGCGCAAGGATGCCAACGCCTTCCGTGCTGTAGTGGCCTCATCCGTTTCACCTTTGGCGTCATCACTACCAGCCTTTTCTGCGCCTAGGTGTTGATGGTGCTCGCTCGCGTGATCCGCGGTCTCTATCTGGCGGCCCATTCGGATCTGGCTGCCCATTCTGGTCTCGTCCACACATGTAGCGCCTCTTGTTGGTTGCGAAGTTGCGAGTGAATCCGCATACCTGAGTCGCCTTGCAACTCCACCTTGGTTCTCTCGCAGTGTCACGCTCTGAAGAAGACTTGGCAGCCTTCCCCATATATTGCCGTGGCCCGTGATGATTAGAAAGGAGCCTCCGCGCCGTGTCAAGCCTCACCACACTCCTTGCTCAGCTCCGCTTGCGTCGTAGCCTGCGATGCCAGGGCGGTGATGGTGTCCTCGTGCTTGGCGCCGTGCCGCTTGCAAATCAGTCCCCAGCAAAGCCACGACCCCCTGGTTGCTGACGGTACGATGAGTGCCAGATTCGGACCACACCATGTACCCAAATTCTGACAACACACATTGGTCGCTCCCGCCCCTGCGCGCGCGGGGCCAAAGGAGTTGGGCGCGGGCACACAACGCACTGGCAGGAAAGGCCTCCGCAAGCTCAAGCCCACGCCTGGAGGAGGAGGAGGAGGAGGAGGAGGAGGAGGAGGAGGAGGAGGAGGAGGAGGAGGAGGAGGAGGAGGAGGAGGAGGAGGAGGAGGAGGAGGAGGAGAGGAGGAGGAGGAGAGGAGGAGGAGGAGGAGGGGGAGGAGGGGGAGGAGGGAGGAGGAGGTGGAGGGGGAGGAAGGAGGAGGAGGAGGAGGAGGGGGAGAAGGAGGAGGAGGTGGAGGTGGTGGGGGATGATGATGATGATGATGATGATGAGATGATGATGATGATGATGAGGAGGAGGAGGAGGAGGAGGAGGAGGAGGAGGAGGAGGAGGAGGAGAGGAGGAGGAGGAGGAGGAGGAGGAGCAGGAGGCGGAGGAGGACGAGGAAGAGGAGGGGGCGGAGGAGGACGAGGACGAGGACGAGGACGAGGACGAGGAGGAAGAGGAGGAGCAGGAAGAGGAGGAGGAGGAGGCGGAGGAGGAGGCGGAGGAGGAGTGATAGCAGGAGCAGCATGAGCAATAGAGTCAACTCAGCCATACCGAGCGAGTCAGCGCCCCCCAGTCCCGCCCTCCTCTTCTTCATGGCATGAGAATCAATGGTGACGCGACTGGATATTGGAGCTGGAATGCGTTCCCGCCAAGCGAACTGAAGGCGCTCGCGCGCGGCTTCGCTTCCGACGACTTGGCGAGTGGGAAGAGGCGGGCCGCGCGCGGGCGGGGGCGGAACATCTGAAATTCTTCGCGCTTCGCGCGTCCCCGCCAGCCCACGCGGAAACCCCGCCCGTGAGAGTTGACGGGGAATTTTGCGAAGAGACACGCGTAGTGAAACAGAGCGGGCAACCAGAGTGAGCAGAGAGATCTCTGGGGGTAATGGGATGGCTTTGGCGCGTCTCTTCGGGCCACCCCTGCGGCCCGCGCAGTGGCGAGAAAAAAAGGGGGAAGACGACAACGACAACGACGACCGCGACGACGCGGAAGAGGAGGAACGGGACAAAGAAGACGACGAGGGCCAGGACGAAGACGAGAAGGAGGAAGCCGACAACGAGGACGAGGGCAGAGCCCTTAAATCGCGGGACTCTTTCGGTGGATTTTGGTGTCTCTTGAAGCTATTATTGGGGGTTTAGGGTTTACGCGCCGTGTTGGAGCCCTTTTGTTGGTCCCTTTGGGGCCCTTGGGGGCTTCTTGGAACCATTTTGGAGACCGTCGAACAGCAGGTAAGGGGTCTTTGATTTGGCCCCCACCCATTGGGGCCATCAGGGTAGGCGTTGCGCCAGCTCAGGCAGTGTCGAGCTTCGCGTCCTGCAAGTTATCAGGACGACTGCGCATATTTTGACAGTTTGTCTGCGTCAGCATGTTTGTGCCAGCTGTGCCCGATGTCCATGCTGTGTTTGTGCCACCTGTGTTGCTGTGTCAGCTATGCTGCTGTGCCAACTGTGTCAGCATGCTTGCGCGTAGCTTGACATTTGTTTGGTGTCAGCTGTGCCCAATGTCTACGGCGCAGTATCCATAGCCATTTTGGCTCAAGTACGCCTGTCTTTGTTTTGCTAGAAGCGAGAAAGACTACAATTGGCAGCCGATGGCGATCCTCATCGCCGCGGCCTCGCTGCTGGCACTCGCGCACGCTACGGGCCCGCAAGTTTCCTGCGCTGTAGGGCAGCAGTGCGCCGCGGGAGAGCAGGATGACACGGGCATGCTCCAGAAGAGCTCGCAGATGATGCAGGTGAATCGGCATGAGCAAATGAGCGTGAGGACGACGCCCACGAACGATGCCGAGTGCAAGGCCGTGAAGGGCATCAACACGGGCCTGCCCATCGTCTACGACTCCAGCTGCTGCCCCGGCCTGTGCTGCTTCTCCGCAGCCTTGGCGCAGCAGAAGGTGAGGACGACGCCCACGAACGACGCCGAGTGCAAGGCCGTGAAGGGCATCAACACGGGCCTGCCCATCGTCTACGACTCCAGTTGCCCCGGCCTGTGCTGCTTCGAGTACCAGCCGTGCAGGTACAACAACACGGGCTGCTACTCCGCAGCCTTGGCGCAGCAGAAGGTGAGGACGACGCCCACGAACGACGCCGAGTGCAAGGCCGTGCCGGGCATTCACACGGACCTGCCCATCGTCTACGACTCCAGTTGCCCCGGCGTGTGCTGCTTCGAGGACCAGCTGTGCAGGTACAACAACACGGGCTGCTATTCAGCAGCCTTGGCGCAGCAGAAGGTGAGGACGACGCCCAAAAACGAC